CGGCGGGTCGGGAAGTGGTTAACCACTTCCATACTGGGCACTTTTACCCTCTTCCTGCCCAGGCCATTTTTCAGGTTTCAGCACTGTCACACTTTGAATGACAATTGCGCGGTCATACAACATTGTACCCAAACTAAAATTTTATAATTTTCTTCACACAGCTAGTGCTTTCTTTTGATGGTATTTAATCACCACTGGGGTTTTTATTTTTTTCTAAATTAACAAAAAAAAAAAAAACAAACATTTTGAAAAAAAAAACATATTTTTCTTTGTTTCTGTTATAAAAGTTTGCAAATAAATAATTGTGCTTCATAAATTTAGGCCAAGATGTATTCTGCTACATGTCTTTGGTGAAAATAACCCAAATTAGTATTTATTATTTAGTTTGTAGGAAAGTTATAGAGTTCGCAAACTATGGTATAGATCTGAAAATTGATCAATCCTGAAGTACTGACGGCCAATCTAATTTGTTGAGGTCCAAGAATGTCAGAATAGTACAGATATCCCCCAAAAGTAGAGAGTCCAACGTATTTCATAACAGTTGTAATTTTTTTGTCATAATTTTTCATAAAATTAAGAAATTTAAAAAATTATTTTCACTATTTTTTGTTTTTACATACTGTCACCAGTGCAGTACAGCATCATCATATAACTGGCATGGCGGTGATCAGGGACACTGACTGGTGAAAGTACAAAAAAAAATTATAACTTTTTTTTTTTTATTACATTTTATAGATTTTTTTAGATTTTTTTTCATATTTCACTATGACCAAAGTAGTGTAATATTACCATAGTAACATTGTACTACTTTGGGGAAGTGATCAGTATTTTTTTTTTTTTTTTAAACAATTTGCTTATAGCAAAGAATTACTTTGCTATAAGCAAGCATTTACCTGAATGAAATCAATTCATTCAGGGTTTTTTTTTTTTTTGTGATTAGCTGTGATTTGGTCATGGCTAATCACATGACACAGCTGGACTGTGATTGGCGCAGCTTGTGCATGTGATCGCTGTAACCATTCACAGCTAGACACACTTGTATACAATGGATGGCATGAAAAGAAGCCATCCATTGTATACAACTGTCATGTGACCTGCTGTGATTGGTCACAGCAGGTCACATGGTACTGGCAATGGGGCCGGTACACAGATCTGTCATCGGCCGTGCCCCGGGGCTTTTTTTGTGATTAGCTGTGATTTGGTCATGGCTAATCACATGACACAGCTGGGCTGTGATTGGCCCAGCTTGTGCATGTGATCGCTGCAACCATTCACAGCTAGACACACTTGTATACAATGGATGGCATGAAGAGAAGCCATCCATTGTATACAACTGTCATGTGAACTGCTGTGATTGGTCACAGCAGGTCACATGGTATTGGCAACGGGGCCAATACACAGATCTGTCATCGGCCGTGTCCGAGGTACACGGCCGGTGACAGATCACGCAACAGCGCAGCCCTGTGGGCATGCGCGCTCCGGAAAGGACGCCATGTGGCGTCCACCCGGAGGGACGAGCTGTTTGCCCAGCCGCCATCTGTCTATAGGCCGGGCAGCAACTGGTTAAAAGCAAAGATGTAGAGGAAAGGTTTTGTGATGCCAGTATAAATGGCCAGATAGGTCAGTCTGCTGGATTTCTCTCCTATTTCTAGAAAGTGAAAACATCCAAGAAATTACTTAGGGGGCTCATATACAAGCATTTTGTCACCTGTTCACAGCTTAGCATAATGTTGTTGGTCCCCATCCTAGAACTGGTGACAAAATACAAATAATATGTACTTTTCAAAGACCCTGGTTAGCAAATTCAGCAGAGAAATCAATGGAAAAAAAAATACTGGTTTAAATCTGGCATGGCAGACGTGGTGTGAACGTTTGCCTTCTATTTTGCTTTTTTGCTTTGCGTACGGTGGAGGAGGCTAATTGGACAGTGGATCATCTTCCCAATGATCCAGGAACAACTTTGTTTCACATTGGGTTACTTCAGAAATGTCTCCAGTCATTTTTTGTCAAAAGGTGAAGAGTGGAAGGATAGGCTTGGATGAACCTAATCTCCTTCTAATAGAAGGTTGATCAGATTTTGATGAATGCTTTGTGTTTTTGAGTCGCCTCAGCAGAGTAATCAGTGAGGATTAGTAACCTTTGCCTGACTATTTTTAATAATCTAGATGTACAAAAATGTTGCAAATTAACTGCTTTGTTAGGGTATTTCAGGCACTTTTCTGTCTAGCTGAATTCCTCTCAGCCTGTGTGCCTTCTCTACCACACACATGGAGGAAAATCCCAAGGATGCTACTAGAATGGTTGTGCTGCAGAGCTTTGCCAGATCCTGTAGTTTATAGGATTTTGGAAGTCCAATATTTCTATAATTCTCTAAGTTTTGGTTAGGTTGAAAAAAAGACAAGAGTCTATTTAGTTCAACCAATAGAAAAAGAGAACCAAGTGGCCCATCAAGGCTTCCCAATTTTATATATTTTTTTTATTTTTATTTTGTCTAAGTATAGATTTGTGTTTGTCCCAAGCATGTTTGCCCCATGTTTTGGATCTTCGCTTCATATTGAAATTACTGCCTTCTTGAACATACACACTTAATGTTTCAGTCATACCTTAGATTGTACGCCCTTTGAGGGTTAGGGATTGATGGGAATGTACCAGGGGCGGACTGACAACTCATGGGCCCCGGGCAATAGGGGATCATGGGGCCCCTGTGTCCTTGCCCACACTCAAAAAAGCCTATAAAAAAGGTACCAGGGGCATCTCATGGGGCCCCCTACTGCCCCTGGGCCCTCGGGCAGTGCCCGAGTGCTCGAATGGTCAGTCCGCCCCTGGAATGTACTATATATATATGTAAAGCGCTGTGTGAATTGACGTCGCTATTTAAGTACCTGGAATAAATAAATAAGATAAATGTCTTCCCTTTCCCTTCTTTCTTCCAGACAATACATACTATGTTCCTGAAATCTCTCCTTATATGTTTTATGCAACAACTCTTGATTTTCTAAAGAAACTCCTCTTACAATTAAATCACCAACAAGAAGATGGTGTTTACTTTTAGAAGCCTAATCAACATCGCTTACATGGTTTGCAAAATCAGATACAAGAGTTACTTTTGAGAAAGCAATTTCTTTCTCAGGGATCTCCTTTCTATGCAGGGAAGAGTTGTCATTATCACAAGCAACTTTGTTAGAGTTCTGTAAAACCTCCATATACAGAACTCTGCACCAATAGCTAATTCAAAGGAAGGCAAAAAACCTGAATACATCATTGTCCAATTTACCCCAGCAGTGAAAAAATAAATTCCACAGAAGGCAATCAGATTTTCTTGCATCAACATTTGATGGTGTAGATTAGAATTTTTTTTTTCAGATCTGTAGTTCTTATTTGAGTAGTGAGAAGTTTATCCTCCAAGGCAGAAATCCATTGTCCTGCTCCTTGAAACCTATTTCCGTGGGTAGACGTAGCCTGCTTAAACTGTTAAAACAATCAGAAAGTGGCAGTGCAAGAGACTGATAGATTTACAAAAAACTGTGCACAGGAGTCCTATTGGATATTCCAATTAGACATCTTGGGGTTTATTTACTAAAGCTGGAGAGTCCAAAATCAGACTCTCTTCTGCATAGCAACCAATCAGCTTCCAGGTTTCATTGCCAAAGCTTCATTGAACAAGCTGAGGTTAGAAGCTGATTGGTTTCTTTGCAGAAGGGAGTCTGATTTTGGACTCTCCAGCTTTAGTAAATAAACCCCCTTGTGTCCTGTAGGGCTAATGATAATTGGATGCTTATACTATTATATGGCATGAATTCTTTCTTAAGATAATAATGACACAGACAGCCTTTTCTGTTTCCCTAATGGGTAGTGTAGCTGTCCTTCTCTTGCCCCTCCTCACCACCCTAACTAAAGAATCACATTCCTAATTCCTGTAACCAGCTGAATATTAAATATTATGAATATTTAGTATATTATTGTTTCAGTATACATAATGTCTCTTACATGCGCCTTCCTGCCCTTTCACACAAATGTTCCAATCAGATCAGCCTGTCCATTTTTCAGGCTGACCCAATTGAAGCCTCCATTCTCCTCTATGAAGCAGCAGGTGTAAACAAACATGTATCTGGTTGTACCTTCCTACATCCAATCCGATCCACCAAACACAGACGGATGAGGATCTGTTCTATTCCGTCCAGTGGATCGGATTGCTGTTGGGTGTAAACAGACAGATGGTCCAGACAGATCCCCTACTGAGCTAGAGGATCACAGATGGAGTGGACGGGGACATCCATTCACTGATACGCTAAACTGGTGGCATAATGAGTGAAAGATTTAATATATGTTCTTTGCCATATATGATTGTATCTATACATCGATATATTTACCTATGGACCTATGGTCTTATTTGAGAGATATATCTTTTCCGGGCATGGATAGGCTGCATGAGCATTGCAGAGGTTTATTATCTGAGTTACACATGTTTCATCGACATTGATTGACTATCTGATTGTGTATTGCCCCCCTTCCCCCGGATTCCAACCACTAAACTCAGTGGCCATAAGCAGCGTATTTAGTTTAATTGATTTTTTTTCTATCTTTTTGGTTTGTGATTGACAAGAACTCTTTTATTCCTTTCTACAAAATGGCTTCTGACAAAATAGCCAGAAATGCGAATTCTTTTGTTTACCATTAGTTTGCTATATACGTTTGAAAGGTATTCCCAGAGGCAGGCTAATTACTCATTGACATAACTACCAAGGGCAGAGTTTTGACAAATGCAACCTGGATGTTGTGTTCTCCCTAGCGTGACTGAATGCTTCCATTCCGAAGGAGCGCTGCTACTGTCCCTGACTAGGGTTTATGTTCCTGCAATGCTGTTGGTATTTCTGTCCTTTACATTTGTGAGTGCAATATTTTTATTTGTTTTGTGATACATCTGATTATTAAATATTACACTATCATCCTCTTGCACTGTCTCTTTCTGATTGTTTTTTGCATGTTCTCAAAGCCCCCACTCCAGATAAGTCAGTTGCATCAGCAGGGGCGGACTGACAACTCATGGGGCCCCCGGGAAATAGGGGATCATGGGGCCCCTGTGTCCTTGCCCAAACTCAAAAAAGCCTATGAAAAAGGTACCAGGGGCATCTCATGGGGCCCCCTACTGACCCCGGTCCCTCGAGCAGTGCCTGAGTTTCCAAATGGTAAGTCCGCCCCTGTGCATCAGGCTGTATTTTAATGATAGTATGTTTATGTTCTAGTCAGGGGCGGACTGACCATTTGGAAACTCAGGCACTGCTCGAGGGACCGGGGTCAGTAGGGGGCCCCATGAGATGCCCGTGGTACCTTTTTCATAGGTTTTTTTGAGTTTGGGCAAGGACACAGGGGCCCCATGATCCCCTATTTCCCGGGGCCCCATGAGTTGTCAGTCTGCCCCTGGTTCTAGTATACAAGACTACCTTTTTCACATTCCTTATGCATGTTCCTTATGTTGATTTGCCATAATTCTTTATTAACACCATCTTTATGACAGTTTTTTTTCTTGAGGATCATTATGTACTTCTTTTTTTGCATAGATCCCCATCCACGTTTTCTCTCTGAACAGGGGTTGAACTGTTAGTTTTCCTTTTCTTATATTCTCCTGCTTAAATTGTTGGAAGGCATTATGAATTGCAATCTCTGCAGCCGTAGTGATCACCAGCACAGAAGGCTAGCCACAGCAATCTGTGCATGCTTACCTAGTTGATCTTCCTTGATAGCATGGTGCAGGACTGGAGATCATGTGGCAGCCATATTGGAGTGCTCTGAATTTTCTTTGTGCCCTGCTTTATTTATTATACAATTTGCTGAACTAGTAAGGGCCATACATTTTATTACTCAAATATTTAGGATACCAAGCTGCAAACCATCTCAGTCTTCATTGATAAGAGAGAGGAAAAAAATATATTCCTCAAATACAAAAAAAATGGAAATAGCAAGTCATGATGTAGGGCAAGTTGGCCTCATTTCTTGTTGACTTCTTCCAATGTCTACTGCTCGATGACCTTGAACATGTTGTGGCTAAGACTATGATTATTTTAAGGTAGCATTCCCATTGTAAATTTTGATGGATGTTATGTTTGTATACCTTAATATGGGCTACCCAGTTTTAATGGTGTCACAAAGGAATCAATAAGAAGAAAAAAAATTGTAAATGCAATGGGGGGGGGGGGGGGATTAACTAAAACTGCTGCCCTCAGAATCTGGTGCAGCTGTTCATGGTAGCCAACCAACTTCTAACTTCAGCTTGTTCAATTAAGCTTTGGCAATAAAACGTGGAAGTTGATTGGTTTATATGTACAGCTGCACCAGATTTTGCACACCCAAGTCTTACTAAATCTTCCCCAGTATTTGTTATTCAGTTAAATGTTTGCTCAGTTGTTGAACATTCCTGTTGCCTGCATTAGTTTTCACATTGCTTTAGATATATAAATATATACACACTATATTGCCAGAAGTATTGGGACACCTGCCTTTACACTCACATGAACTTTAATGGCATCCCAGTCTTAGTCCGTAGGGTTCAATATTGAGTTGGCCCACCTTTTTTCAGCTATAACAGCTTCAACTCTTCTGGGAAGGCCGTCCACAAGGTTTAGGAGTGTATCGATGGGAATGTTTGACCATTCTTCCAGAAACGCATTTGTGAGGTCCGGCACTGATGTCAGACGAGAAGGCCTGGCTTGCAGTCTTCACTCTAATTCATCCCAAAGATGTTCTATCAGGTTGGGGTCAGGACTCTGCAAACCAGTCAAGTTCCTCCACCCCAAACTCGCTCATCCATGTCTTTAGGGACCTTGCTTTGTGCACTGGTGTGCAGTCATGTTGGAACAGGAAGGGGCCTTCCCCAAACTCTTCCCACAAAATTGGGAGCATGAAACTATCCAAAATGTCTTGTTAAGCCTAATGCCTTAAGAATTCCCTTCACTGCAACTAAGGGCCAAGCCCAACCCCTGAAAAACAAGCCCACACTAAAATCCCCTCTCCACCAAACTTTACACCTGACACAGTATAGTCAGGCAAATACGTTCTCCTGGAAACCACCAAACCCAGACACATCCATTGAATTACCAGACAGGAATCATGATTAATCACTCCAGAGAACAACTCTCTAGTGCTTTAGAGTCCAGTGGTGGCATACTTTACACCACTGCTTCTGATGCTTTGCATTGCACTAGGTGATGTAAGGCTTGGATGTAGCTGCTCGGCATGGAAACCCATTCCATGAAGCTCTCTATGCATTGTTGTTGTGCCAATCTGAAGCCCACATGAAGTTTGGAGGTCTTTAGCTATTGACTCTGCAGACAGTTGGTGACTTCTACGTACTGTGTGCTTCAGCAATGCACTGACCCCGGGTAACTCACTGTAATTTTGCGATCCCAATTGCTTCCACTTTGTTTACTTATAATACCACACACAGTTGACAGTGGAATTATTTAGTAGCAAGGAAATTTCACGGATGGCTTCAGTTACCTGACTTATTGCACAGGTGGCAACCTATCACGGTACCCACACTTTAATCAGTTTATTCACTGAGCTCCTCTTAGAGCGACCCAGTTCTTTCACACAAGTTTTGGTCAGCGATCTACGGGTAGAAGCAGTCTGCATGCCACTAGGGGCTTGATTTTATACACCTGTGGCCATGGAGGTGATTGGAACACCTGAATCCAATGATTTGGAAGGGTGTTCAAAATCAATGCTTCTGGCAATATAGTGTGTATATATATATATAATATATATATATAATATATTATATTATATACACATACACGGGGGGGGTACCCGGGACTGACAACTCATGGGGCCCCCGGGCAATAGGGGGATCATGGGACCCCTGTGTCCTCCCCCACACCCAAAAAAAGCCTATGAAAAAGCCAATGAAGAAAGGTACCAGGGCATCTAATGGGGCTGAGATTATCCCCTTACTGAGCCCCCAGGCCCTCAGGCAGTGCCCGAGTGCTTGAATGGTCAGCCCGCCGCTGTATACATACATTATATTGTTCAGAAGGTTTTTTTTCATACTCCTGCTTACACAACATTTTATTTTGTAATAGTTTTATAAACCTATTATCTGCATCTATTATAACCCACATAGAGATATTCTATAACGGTCATTATCATGATGTAGAAGATTAGGCCTGGTTGACATAGTATAAGCTATGTTGCATAGCAAGGAGGACAAAGCTGTATCCCTTATGTATCAACATGAATTTCAAATTTCATCATACAATAGGCAGTTGTAGAAGCAGTTTTCATTATCTCTTCAATGCTTCTTCAATAATGTACACAAAAACTACAGAGAAAGCACACTGAGAAAGCCATGCTTTAAAATTCACTTCTTACAAGTCCATTGTGCTCTTTGAGTTCACCCAGCATGCTATGCAGCACATGTAATTTAGAACCTAACAATACAGTACAGAACCAACAATACATAACAAAATTATCTTCTCTTAACTGTTTCATAGTTTGAGGTATTTTAGACTTTTCTCTCAAACGGGTATCACAGTTACATCCAAGCTAGCGATCTAAGGGGATGACTAGCTAAACTATCTTTTTATGCTCATTTTTAATGATATTTTCATAACCGTAAAGATGAAATTCCTGTTTTTAGTATAAATGGAAGTACTAATCTCATCAGCTACCAAATGATACTGTACATGTTGGATTGAATTTTTTAGCTGATACAGCTCTTGTTCTCCCTTCTGCAGAGAGCCTTGTTCAAGATAAGTTTTCTCTTTTTCCCATAAAGCTTATCAATTGGCAAAACATTGCAAAAGTGATGTGCTCTGTCATGAGTATTAAAATAGTTGCCAGCATGTTAAAATAAGTTTTTGGGACACATTTTTATACTGTGTGTTGGAAAGCCACTGTAGAATTAATGTACAATATGTCTGGGGCATTCATTTAAGTACAGAGGGTATAGTGATATGAGTAGGAAAAGAGTGCAGAGTGTATGACAATTATTGCTGGAAAGGAGTTCAAAGTGTATGGTGGTAGGTAGTATATGCAGGACAGAGGGTCAGAGTTTTTGATGGTGGACAGTATGTACAGGAGAGGAGTGCAGAGTTTATGGCAGTAGACAGTATGTACTGGAGAGGAGTGCAGAGTTTATGATGGTGGACAGTAAATGCAAATGAGGAGTACAGAGTTTATGATGGTGGGCAGTAGTGCAGGAGAGGAATGCAAAATTTATGATGGTGGGCAATATGTGCAGGAGAGGAGAGCAGAGTTATGATGGTGGAAAGTATGTCCTGGAGAGGGGTACAGAGTTTATGATGGAGGGCACTATATGAAGAAGAGGAGGGCAGAGTTTATGATGGTGGGTAGTATGTGCAGGAGAGAAGTGCAGAGTTTATGATGGTGGAAAGTATGTCCTGGAGAGGGGTACAGAGTTTATGATGGAGGGCAGTATATGAAGAAGAGGAGGGCAGAGTTTATGAGTGTGGGTAGGATGTGCAGGAGAGTAGTGCAGAATTTATGATGGTGGAAGGTATGTCCTGGAGAGGGGTACAGAGTTTATGGTGTTGGATAGTATGAGCAGGAGAGAAGTGCAGAGTTTATGATGGTAGGCAGTGTGTGCAGGAGAGGAGTGCAGAGTTTACGATGGTGGACAGTATATTGAAAAGAGGAGTGCAAAGTTTATGATGGTGGGCAGTAGTGCAGGAGAGGAATGCAAAATTTATGATGGAGGACAGTATGTGCAGGAGAGGAATGCAGAGTTTATTATCGTGGACAGCAGATACAGGAGAGGAGTACATGGTTTATGATGGTGGACAGTATATGCAGGAGAGGAGAGCGGAGTGTATGATGGTGGACAGTATATGCAGGAGAGGAGAGCAGAGTGTATGATGGTGTGCAGTATGTCCAAAAGAGGAGTGCAGAGGATATGAAGGTGGGCAATAAGTGCAGGAGAGGAGAGCAGAGTTTATGATAGTGGAAGATATGTCCAGCAGAGGGATACAGAGTTTATGATGATGGGCGGTGTGTGCAGGAGAGGAGTGCAGAGTTATGATGATGTGGACAGTATATGCAAAAGAGGAGTGCAGAGTTTATGATGGTGGATAGTATGTGTAGGAGAGGAGTGCACAGTTTATGATGGCGGACAGTATGTACAGGAGAGGGGTGCAGAGTTTTTTCATGGTGGACAGTATATGCAGAGGAGGAGTGCAGAGTTTATCATGGTGG